CATCATTGTTGTTTGGCGGGCCCGGGCTGGGGATTCGAACCCGCCACCTTAGGTGTATGTGGCTGGCGCCTTAGCCGCTTGAGCCATAGGCGCTGAGCCACTTTATTTTCTATATACTTATTCTAAGGAAGTTACTGGAAGAAAGGAAGTAAACGAAGAAAAGGAAGACCACAGAAGACCCAGCATAAGAGAGAGATGAAGGAAATCAATCTCAAGGTTATGATGAAGGCAGACCCCAGGGTATCAATATGTTCTAGGAGTTCAAGAAAATCAGTCCAGACTGGAGCAGATCAAAAGACTCCAGAAGAGATTTCATGAAAGGGAAACTGATACAGTATTTTGAAGGGCCTGATCTCAATAGAGTTCAGAATTCTTATCTGAATTACAGATAAGAATACAGGCAAAAATAGACATTAACTGATTATTTTTGTTGAATTTTTAAACAGCTTTATTGAAATATAATTTACATGCCATAAAATTCACCCACTTACCATGTACAATTTAATGGTTCTTAACTATATTCAGAGTTGTATAACCAACATCACAATCCATAATAATTTTAGAATATTTTCATTACCCTTAGAAACACTTCTCATTCTCCCCATCATTTATCTCAGGTGTAAGAAACCACTACCCATCTTTATTTTTAGATTCATCGTATGCTATGTAGACTTTGTGACTTGACTTCTTCACTGATTTCAAGGACCATCCATGTTGTAACATATATTAGAACTTCATTCTTTTTATTGCAAAATAATATGAATATACCATATTTTACTTATTTATTCAGTTGATGTACATTTGAGTTTATTCTACTTTCTAGCTATTCTGAATAATGTTGCAAAACCACTCGTATAAATTTTTGTGTATTAACTCCAATTATTTACAAACAGTTTTATGGAGGAAAAAAAAATTCATACTTTTACCATACAGCTCAGCTTTAAAGTCATAATAATGTAAATACTGAACACAGAGTTAAGCAAATTCCAAGACCTTTCTATCAGGAAAATGGGGGTATGGAAAGTATACACAGAGGGTGGCAGTGAGTCGGGGAGATGTAGAGGAATCCCCAAGATGAATATGGTACTTAGGCAATTATCAAAAGATTCAAACTAAAAGAAGTGAAAGAAATTACCTCTGTGGAAAGAGAACTTGGGGACCTTGTCAGGGAAAAAAGGCTGGGGACTGGGTTTTTCTTAAATAACTGTAGAATTAATTGACTCATCAAATTGGGCCTTTATAATCCTGCTAAGAATGATGCCATCAATGTTCTCAGAAGAGTTTACAGTCCGTGAAAAAGGAAGCCAAGCAGCTGTGAGAACTATCTCTACTCAAAGACCGTGAGCACCAGCCTGGGGAAGAACGTATGTTGTATCGTAATTTTATTATCTTCTTGTAGACACTGGCTTGAAAAAACAGTTGCCTGCCAGGTGTCAAGTTTGAAGTAGTATATTAGGAAAATGTTTCTAAGTAACTAACACAGATAAAATGAAAACTAAGAACATCAGAGTTAGAGAAAACTCAGAGAAAATTTCAACATCTATTAAGGTTTTTGTTTTACTTAAATAGAATCAATTCTCTTTTTTTAGAGACACAATTATGCAATGTAAATAAACCCAAAAGAGGGCCCCAATGACAGCAAGCTTAACTTTACTTCATATAGTATTTATAAGTTGATTCACAAAGGCTTTTACAAATGACATGAGCACAGTAGAAAAATTCTTTTAGGTGCAAATCTCTACTAGATATTTAATTTCTGTCTCTGAGGCATAATTTTACATTTTAAGGATTTTAAGGTGTCTTTTATAAACCTTTATATAGTGTTTTTCAAAGAGACTATAATCCAATAAAGAGTTTAATGTGAAAAATTTTTATAACAAGTGTTGCATTATAATTTGGGCAATTGGGTTTGATTTATTTGTTCTACATATTGATATCTAATGAGGTAAAATAGCTAAAACCCACACAGCATTCAAAATTTCAATACTTCAACCCCCAAACATTTTTTCATTCCTGATTTTATGTTCTGGAGTACTAGGAAAGTACCAGTTTTCCTACATGAGCCATGAATCTAAACATTATATAAAATTTACTTAAATGCTAGATCAAGCTTTTTTTTTTTTTTGAGACAGAGCCTCAAGCTCTTACCCTGGGTAGATTACCGTGGCATCACAGCTCACAGCAACCTCCAACTCCTGGGCTCAAGGGATTCTCCTGCCTCCGCCTCTCAAGTAGCTGGGACTATAGGTGCCTGCCACAAGGCCATTTTTGTTTGGTGGGCCCGGGCTGGATTCAAACCTGCCAGCTCAGGTGTATGTGGCTGGCACCTTAGTTGCTTGAGCCACAGGCGTCGAGCCTTCTAGATCAATCTTTACTCAGCTATATCTGGATCTATAAGGTCTAACCTATTGGGAGTTATGTTTTGATTGCCTAGTTCAAGCTGAAATCTTAAGTAACCTACCCATCTTAAGCAAGCCATTACTATCAACTCCCACCAGTAGACACTAAATAGAGCTGCTCACAGGGGAGAAAAGTTTATCTTTTTTCAAGTTTTGGCTTATCTTCTTCATTGGGAAGTGTCAAATAATGAGGAAATAGCCACATTTATGATATCCAAAAGAAAATCCATGGGGAAAATTTGGAGAATCACTAGTTGACTATAGATGAAAAAATTTTAAGTTTGCTTCTTATAACATCAAGTTTGTGAAAATTAAAATTTGCTAGTTCTAATACCGTACTTAGTACTTTTGAGGGAGGGGGTTGGACTAAGATACAATCTCTCCTGTAAGGGTTCCTATTTGGGATTTAATGAAATAGAAACACAAACAAGACAATAAAATGACATTCATTCAGATACTGATTCTTTTCATTTTAAGAGCAGAAAACCTGTCCTGGTTTCTGTGACCCAAATTCCCCTTCCTACTTCTGAAATAAAGCATTCTGCATGCATGCTGACTGTCCTCAAATATTAGGCTTGCGGCTCTATGGCAAATAGGAGGTTAGATTTCAATGAAAAGGGAACAGATGCACATTTGGGTTTCTTACTTCAGGATCCTGTGCTTAGAAAAGCCCCTCAACACACTACTTTTATCATAGTAACAGCCGATTCCATCTGCATAGTAATCCTTGTTTTATTCTTCTAGTCAGAGCCAAATTACACTGTGACTCACTCATCTACACTCTAAATTGTTACTCCCTTTGCTGAAAAAAGAGGCAGTTCACTAACTACTGTGGCAACAAGGTAGTTAGTGAACTGGCAAATAGGCCTGGTGTACTAGAACTTCAACTACTGAAGAATATTTAGTTTTTACTCCAAGATGTCTTTAGATTTTCCTCTTGATGTCTCACCATCAGTATTAGTGCCATACACTGGTATTTCTAGAATAATGAGCAATGGGACTCCAACTGTCTTGAATGGAAAGTGGAAGATTGGTATTTTTCTTTCATCATTTTAAATCCATGTCATACTCTCATTCAGACTGCTGAATTAGCTTCAGTTCTTGGCAGGGGAGGACAGAGTACCAATCCTCCTTTTTGTTGTATCTTCTGACACAGAAGATGATGTCCTTCACAGTGCATCTCTTCCTCCCTCCCTTCAAATAGTGATATTACTTTCAGTAGCCATTTCCTTTTCAGTTGGGAGTCCTGATGGTCCTAAATTTTAGAACTGTTGCTCAAAGGCTGGTTTGCATTTGCTTCTGCCAGGACCCTAGGTTTCATCAATCCTGGACTAATTTTACACTAACTTGTTGATGTGGCAATTACTACACCTATACAGCTAGTATAAATGTAGACTACATAACTCATGTATGGCATATATAGACTGGCCCTTGAAGTTCTCACAAAAGACCACCTAGAATCCTGCTCAGATAGAAACTCTGGTCACTTTTCAGGGATAGTGAAACCATTTTTCTAATTTCCCCTTTCATTGAGGGAGTTGTTCCTCGAGATCTCAGGTTGGCCCAACACTATCTCACCGTCCTTGTGAGCATTAAAACCACAATCTCAAAGGCTTTTATCTGTACTAATACTGCTTCGCCTTCTGAGCTGACTACTCTGCCTTCATGCTGCTTAGACCCCAGAAGGTTTATATTTCAAAGGAAAATTCGAGGTAGATGCAAACTGAACGAAACTCTAAGCTACTACTCAAGCATTCTAAAAAAATTGAACATTTTCCAGATCAAGAGGCTCTTGTAGGCCAGATAAAGTCATACTCAGTTCCTCTAAGATGCTGCTACCCTTATCATAGATATGTGCTAACAGAGGGAGGCATTTAAATCCAAACAACCTAGCTACTTGTACAGTTCAAAGATAATCTCCACATTAACTCTCCGCTGAAATCTATTTTTATATCAATGACATTCAAATTGCTATAAAAGTTGTAAAGAAAAAAACATGTAAGAAGAATCTTTTTATGTCAATGCATGACATTTCTTCTCCAAAACAAAAGAAAACAGAACAAAACTCTTCTCTGCAAAGATTTCTTTCAAACCCTATTCCATGACAGATTCTAATAAAAGCAAGAAAGAGGTGTTGTTTTACATATAAATGAAAAATGGCAACATAGCAACTTGTATCACCCCAGTGAAGTAAAACTCTGACCTGCAGATTATTTAGAGGTTCCATCTTCATGACTGGGCCCAAAGTGTTGAGAGGCAGGGAGATATCAATGCTCTGGTTTGGCATCAGTGGTGTATGGATGGCCAGAGGAGTGCTAGGGATGACACCAAAGCTAGGAGAGAGGATAAAAAAAATCATAGAGATTAATTAAGAGGCAGGCTCTAGCCACAGCCACATCTTTGGGTTTGAATGGCTTTTTATTCTAAGTGAAGGAAATAAAATTTTTGACACAATTAAATGTAAGGAAAAGGAGGAATAAGGTACTCAATTCCAACTTGCTATAACATTGGTTACATCATAACCTCTGTTTCTCATTAAATGGATTTGAGGAAGGAGAAAACACAAATACAGAACTGCTTTGCTAGTGTTATAATTTTGAAAGCTTATTCTCTTTTTATCATGTTACTTGAGGGACAGGTTTAATAAGTATCTTTTAAAAATAAACCTTTCCTTAGATAATCTTTGGTAGAAAGATTTAAGAATTTCTATTCTATAAAGAGAAAAGTACAATAAATTGTTATTATTACTCTAACTTAATAACCTGCTTCATTGAGCCCAGAAGATTATTTACTGAAACTCTCGCTTTCTTTCTTGTTTACTTAGATAGCACATAATTAATCACTGGGAAAGAACTAGTCTAAATGCAATGAATGGCTTATGTATTCCAAATGACTAGGATAAACTGTAGATCCCCAAACGGCCACTTTTTAAGCCTAAGGCAGGCAGTGAGTACGCACCAATTCGACTTCTCAAAGATAGTCCTTTTAAGGACAATACCGGAATGGCAAAGAGATTTAAAAAAAAAAAAGACTCGGTGCCTATAGCTCAGTGGCTAGGGCACAGCCACATACACCAGGGCTGGTGGGTTTGAACCCAGCCCAAGCCTGCTAAACAACAATGGCAACTACAACCAAAAAATAGCCGGGTGTTGCGGTGGGCGTCTGTAGTCCCAGCTACTTGGGAGGCTGAGGCAAGAGAATCGTGTAAGCCCAAGAGTTTGAGGTTGCTGTGAGCTATGATGCCACTGCACTCTACTGAGGGTGAGTGAAACATAAGGAGACTCTGTCTCAAAAAAAAAAAAACCCAAAACTCAGCCCCAGTCTGAAGTAATGTAAAAAACAAAAACATAAACAAGAGGGCAGATAGTCTGAGAAACATAAGGACCACTATGGAATAAGTTGGTCCAGAAGTATAACAAACAAAACGATACAAATTTATATTGAATTTATGTTCTACATAGTCTCAGGAAGGAAGATAGGACTATGATGCTTATAAACAGCTAAAGAGTTTAAATAGACAGTATTTCTTTCAAGACTCAGAATGGTGGCTGGGCGCTTGTGGCTCAAGTGGCTAAGGTGCCAGCCACATACATCCAAGGTGGCAGGTTCGAATCCAGCCCAGGCCCACCAAACAACAATGACGGCTGCAACCAAAAAAAATAGCCGGGCATTGTGGCGGACGCCTGTGGTCCCAGCTACTTGGGAGGCGGAGGCAGGAGACTCGCTTGAGCCCAGGAGTTGGAGGTTGCTGTGAGCTGAGATGCCACAGCACTCT